GAGGGTGGGGGTTTCTCCTCCAGCAGTGGGGGCTCTGGGGGAGAGGAAGGTCAGAACTGAATGTCACTTATCATCCTTGGCACCTTTCTACTTGTCCCTTAAATATCCCTTCCTAGCCGGGTGCAGTGGCTCAAGTCTGAAATCCCAGCACTTTGGGAGGCCGAGGCAAGAGGCTTGCCTGAGCCCAGGGGTTGGAGACCAGCCTGGGCAACTTGGCAAGATCTCGTCTCTATAATAAATCAAAAATTAGCTAGGTATGGTGGCGCGTGCCTGTAGTTCTAGCTACTTGGAAGGCTGAGGCAGAAGATCGCCTGAGCTCAGCAGGTCGAGGCTGCAGTGGCCGCCAGTGCACCACTGCACTCCAGCCTGGGCGAGACTTTAACTCAAAAAAAAGTACCTTCCTGTGCAAAAAGCCCCTCTCTCCCTAACTGCCACTCAGCTCCCAGTGGCCCTTCTGCCATATCAAAGACACTCCCAGAGACCCTTCTCTGACTCCAGCAGCTAACTAGAGCACCTGAAACTCGTCTCCCATCCCTAACACCTTTCTCAGTCCTGAATCATCTCTCTGTGACCTCAAAGCCCTTATCTGTAGCATTCCTCCCAACTCCTAAATTGTTCCCTTCCTGCTTCGACCTCCTCACTTCCTCCTTGGGGGTTTGTCTTCCTACCCACAAGCCCTTCCCTGTCCTGCTCGTGGTTTGGGGACCATCAATGTCCTCCTGTCTGCCAGTTCCTTTCTTTAGGACCCTTAAGCACCTCCTGGATTTTTTTTAAGTCGAGTCTTACTCTGTCACTCAGGCTGGAGTACAGTGGCACAATCCCAGTCACTTGCAGCCTCAACCTCCTGGGCTTGGGGCTCAGGCAGTTCTTCTGTCTTAGCCTCCCAAGCAGCTGGAAGGACAGGTATGCACCACCACATCTGGCTAATTTTTTGATTTACTGTAGAGACAGGGTCTTGCCAAGTTGCCCAGTCTAGTCTTGAAGCCCTGGGCTTAGGCAATCCTCTGGCTTCAGCCTCCCAAAGTGTTGGGATTACAGGTGTGAGCCAGCACAACTGGTCTGCCAGTTCCCTTCTTAAGGATCATTAAGAGCCTCCTGGCTTTTTTAACAACTCCCTGGAATCTCTCCTGACCTCTAAAACTGCTGCTACTTCATCTCTGAGTCCTCAGCCACAGTCCTGCCCACCTCTTGAAAGCCCCCCTCAACCAGAATATCTGCTGTCTGGAAACCTCTGGCTTTTCCCTGAAGCCTCCATTCAGCCTCATGCCCTCTCACCTCCTCACTCCCCATTTCTATACCCCCCAAAGGCCTCTCCGTTCCCAAAGACTTCTCTGACCCCTTGTTCGAGTCTCCCTCTTTCATCCTCTGACGCCTCTGTTCCCTCCATTAATGCTCCTCCAATTGCATCCAAAGCTGGGCTCAGGCCAGAGCACCATCCAGATCCCAAGGAACCCCTAGCCTTCCCCTCTTGCCCTTGCAAGACCTATCACCCTCCCCAAGGCTCTCTCTGCTCCCAGACAGCTTTCAGTCCCTTTGCACACGGCTGACTCCTCAGAGCGCTTCTCGGCCCTCATGCCCCCTCCGGGTTTCAGAACCTCTCCTGGTACCTGTCACCTGTCCTTGTCAAGTATCACCTACCCTGTCCCCTGTATTCTCCAGTTTCCACTTTGTGACCCCACCTAGTCCATTTAGCACCTCTGGGTGAACTAGAATAAGATCTGCCTTCTGCCATGCAGGGTGGCTCATGCCTGTAATCTCAGCACTTTGGGAGGCAGAGGTAAGAGGATTGCTTGAGCCCAAGGGTTCAAGATCAGCCTGGGCAACTTGGTGAGACCTCATCTCTACAATAAATAAAAAAATACCCAAAAAGTTATCCGGGGCAGTGGTGCACTCCTGTGGTTCCAGCTACTTGGAAGGCTGAGGCAGAAAAATCACCTGAGCCCAGCAGGTCGAGGCTACGGTGGCCATGAGCATGCCACTGCACTCTAGCCTGAGCGACAGAGACTCTGACTCAAAAAAACAAAAAAACTCAGTCAGGCTCGGTGGCTCAGCCTGTAATCCCACGCCTTTGGGAGGCTGAGGTGAGTAGATTGCCTGAGCCCGTGGGTTCGAGACCCGCCTGGGCAACTTGGCAAAACCTCATCTCTACAATAAG